AATAGAATAGAATAGAATAGAATAGAATAGAATAGAATAGAATAGAATAGAATAGAATAGAATAGAATTTTTATTATGGTCGCTGACCAGAATTACAAACAGAAATACATTTAAAAAATGTTCATTTGTGTTCAGTTTGGTGTTTGGATTTTTAGGGTAGGTGTGTATATTAAGATTACACTAAAGGGAGGTGTGATGGCAAAAGGTCTAGGAACCCCTGCTGTAACTTTTGCAAATGAAGATTACTCTTAGTGCTGGTTTTCTGCCTAGTTCAGCACACTTTCATTATTATGTTACATTTTAATCACTTTGCATAAGTAAGTAAAATAGTCCATAAGCAGATAGGAGTACAAAACATTTCGTTTTATGCCATTTTGAGCATGAAACTTTGCATTTTGGAAATGCTTTTGCACTCATAACAGCTTTGTTTCAAACTCAAAAGATTTCTGAAAATGTTTTAAATGGTTTTAAATTGTTTTGCATTCAACATGGCTCAAATTGAAACATTTTGCAACACCTCTAGTAGTACAAAGTAACTGAAGACAAACACCATTTTAAAAAGTTGCTTTCTCTGGAACACTCAGAGAAAAGCACTTACTACCATTGTTGATAATTTTCAAGTTTTAAGGAAAAATAATTTTATTCTGGGAACAATTAACAATGGAATGAGGTTTTTCAGCACAAATCTCCTTAGAATATGAGTTCATCTGTACAACTGCTGAATGAAGGTCTGCCACATCTACATTTGGATCACAATCAACCTCTTATGTTTTCAGTTTCAATTAAAGAAAAACATACTTGAGAAACAAGAGCTCACATTTGCTTTCAATTTAGAATCCATGCTAGTAAAGTATCTAGACACATTGCCAAAGTTTCTAAATATAGTAATTTAGGTAACTAAAACTTCATTTGGCTATGCACAAATTATATAGTTTCCAATTCAACAGGATTATTTAAATAGCTTTCTTCATCTTCAAAATCAAGTAATTTCTTCTAGAGACACTCCTATATTAGATTGCAACAAAGCTGTGCCCTACTGAAAATTAGCAAGATTAAACTTTAATTCTTCATTTGGAAAAAGCAAGGCTTTTTTTTAATGCATCCTTCAGTAATGTAGAAATGCATGTCTATGACACAGCTTAATCTTGCTATATTTACAACTTGAATTACAATAGGGAAGAAAATAAATGTACATAATTGAAAAGAGATTACTTTTAGAATAAGTAGCTTTAGATTGAAATAAAACAGGACAAACTCTTCATTATGATAAACAGCTCATAACTTAACGCTAACCATTACTATGTAAGATTAGATAATCACTCAAAAAATAATATGTCAGATCCTGTTTGCAACCATAAGTGTACAGAATAAAATGTAGCTATCACCCAACATAAGAGCAACTGAAGTCGTAAAACCTAGAACCAAACATGTATTAAGTTTTGTTGTTTTTTCCCTGCTAGCTATTAATTAAAACACTGAAATGAAAATTAAGCCACTATTACACATCTCAGAATAACTACCTAATTAGTTGAAAGTTCAATTTTAACAGTCAGCATCCTTAATTTTAATAGATAATGGAATAAGCAAGAGGAACATATATTTGAGTGGCACATTTGTCACTTACTATGATTTGTGACATGTGAATAGCCCAACACAGAATGTACAATATCAATTCTACATGGGGAAAATGTTTTAAATGTATTAATTGATATACTTATCATTATAACAAACATAGAAAAATAAAAACTAAAAGGTAATTCTCTAAACAGTAGGAACTACGAGAATATGGCAGAAATACAAAGGATGCTGGGTGAGAATACAAAAAAAAAAAAAAAAATTGAAATGGACCTTAACAAAGTTTGCTATCTAAAAAAGGAAACAGAACTAGAGGCTGTTCTGAAACTCATAATTAGGGGAAAATTCACTGCTCACAACAACAGTAGCTTCAAAGATCAATGCAAAAAACTTGAATCTGGAAGGAAATGTATCAGTATTAACAAAGACTTTGCTCTTATATTGTGCTGTCCAGATTAAATATCTAAACGTTTCAACAACCAGCTTAAGTTCTCAGGTCTCTATTATGACTCCTACTATTATATAAAAGCAACAATACCCCTTAACAATACTCTTTGGCTAGGAAAAGAGTGAACATTAAAACAAAGTAAAGTACAGTCATTATTGACTCTTACTTCTGTTCCTAAATTCGAATGAACAGGTTTATAACCCTCAGTATATTCAGCTTCCTGTCATAGTAGAAAACTGTAACAAATTCCCCTTAATAGAATAATGTACAATAGTGTACAAGGCCAGAAATATACAATCCACTGAAAATAACAGAGGAAATTCTGAGAAGCTGGAGGTTTCTTTTTCCACCACATACTGAAAAGCCATGAAAAGCAGCAACAAAAAACAGAAATTGAGCAACTGCAATTCAGAACTCTTCAACCGTACACCTTCACTGTGGAAAAAAATACTGCAAAAATACACGGTGTTTCAAAAAGAACAAACAGCAGTCATCAACAGTTGAAGAGCTACTGTTTTAGGTGCATTTGGATTAAGAGAACCCATTTCCACTCTGATCGCTTTACATAGTATGTTATGCCACTTGTTACACAAGCTTTTGTTTGCATATATGTACTGAACTAAAAACATGTCTTTACTTGTGCCAAAGTGGAAGGAATTAAAGTGGAAGGAATCAAGTTAGATATTTGTAGTAAGTAGTAACTAATTTGAAAAGAACAGAAAAACTGGTTTTCACTTCATAGCTAAAATATATTTATTCTTCTAAGATTACAATGTCTGGGCATTGTTTTTTACAAATAACTTACCTCAGTTGCTTTGCATAATTCTGTTCAATCTCTATCCTTTCTTTTACAAACTTTGCATATTTTTCCAGGAAATCAATGCCCCACTGTGTGTGCTTGTCTAAATTATCAAACTGGTCCTGTAAGATGGGAGAGGGAGAAGAGAGAAATATCCATTATACCAAAGGAAAAAAACCCCCTCAGATTCAATAAATGACCTATTTCCCATACACTAAAAACAAACATAAATAATTGCACATAAATACACTCAATTTTTTAAAAGATTCATTAAATATGCCTTTAAAAAAAATACTATCAAAAGAACAGTACTACTGTATTAAGCTAGCATCCTACTTCCAACATAATCCCACCAGACACTTTAAGAAAACACAGAAGCATGGTACTCGAAACCCTGACTCTAGCGATGCTGAGTTTTTGGCAATAGCAAGGTTGTTAGATAAACTGTAAGAACTAAATTGTGGCACTGCCTCTCGTATGTGAAGTGATTCAGAATGTATGCTAGGATTGTGTATCGGTTGTGGTGAGTCCAGTGATCAATCACCTCCGTGTACGGGAAATAAGGGGATCGCTGATTAGTGAGCTATGGCAGCATTTGGAGGACTACGATTATGTAAATTATTATTTTTACTTAATTTTAAAATTTTCTTATGCATTTTTTCATTCTCTTTTCAAGTTGAATGCACATTGGATATGAAATAATAACAATAATCTTTCTCCAGTTCTGCTGTAGTAGGAGCTCACAATTCGTTTTTCTCTCTTTAGAAAAGATATTGATCAACAAAAGGGGATTTTTTTTAGATTTTCTGAACTCAGACAAAACCCCAAATGCACTCTTTTGTAGAAAATGTATTTTCATGTAATTTACTTAATTAAATTGGAAGAATCTTTCCGTGTGTAAAATGGATAGCAAGATCAAAAGAGTTAAGACTAATTCTGAAAGCAGAGCAGTAGAACTGGCTTCTCTATTAAACTAATATTAACAATAATAAAGTCACTTTGTGTGAGGTGGGTGGCCATATAAATACAATAAATAAATAAATAAATAAATAAATAGTAATAACATGGTAATATGTAGAAAAATACTAATATCAAATCCATATTGTAATTTTATACAAACATAACAAACCACATGATCAGAATTAACTATCAACAATATAAATAAATCATACATAATAGGAAAGAAAGACAGATGGCCAGTAAGACAGATAGATTGGAAAGATAGCCTGGAAAAAAAATCCTAGAAAATGTGGTCAAAATTGTGAAATATCCCTTTTCTTGTCCCTCTGTGAGAAATAAAAAAGTTAATTCAGAGGTTGATGAGCAGCACTTATCAGCAGCTCATCACTGCAAATCTGTGCAAGTGCTCTAATTTTGTATAATAATTATTTTGTCCAGTTCTTGTGCATAAGTGGGTCATAATTTTTGCTTTGATAAACTCCAGTATGGGGGATATAGCAAGAAGAATACATGTAGCCTGGACAAACACTGCTCATTTAAAGTCACATTGATATCCTATGAATTTCAGGCCAAAGCATGGCAATAGAACAAGCCCAAACCAAGTTAGCTAATGTTGCAATTTCTGAAAGGGGAAATAATAACAATAGGTAGGCCTCTTACAATATCACCCTTCAAAGTCATCTTATTTACATTTGTCTTTCCACCAAGAAGTTCTATATAAGCTGTCTAGAATTTGTTACGTTATTGCCAAAATTGAAGATTTAAATTTATCATCTGAAAAAGCTTTTTAAGAACCATTATACCATGATACACAAAAGAATCAAAACACAACCTAAAACTCCAAGCCCTAAAATGTTATAATTAAGACCCAAGTCTGATTTAGTCCAATTATGAATAAATTAGAAAAGAGAGAAAGCTCAAATATTAGGGAAAAAATTAGGACAGTGATTTTGATATATTTATGAAACATAAGACATTATTTAGATATAGAAACATCTTATTTTTAATCACACCTACTAGAACATTAATATTTTCAGAATTTCTAATAACAAAAACAAAAGATACTAAGAACATACTGTATTTAAAAGAAAAGAAACCATCCTTAACACGTACTATAAAGTAAATTAAAAAAATAAAAATATTTTTGATAATCACGTATGATCTAAGGGCTGAATAAATCACGTTTACTCAAGATTTAAATTTTTGTTAGAACCCATTATAAATCAAACCCCACTTCAGAAATGTCCAGGAAGTCATATTAAAACCTTCTCAGCATCTAAGCAAATAATAAGCTAGCTCTGAACTATATCGACTTAACTCTATTACATCATTTAGAAATCTAAAATTATTAGCCTTCTGATGGACGGGCTGAATTTATTAAGGAAATTGGTCTATAATTGGAATGCATAATATGATATTTATCTGCTTAGGAAAATTGCAATATTTAGCCTTATTCAAAGTAAGGTAAAGATCTATTAGGAAGGCATTATCATATGCTTCCCATTAAATAGAACATTTTAAAATATATACATTTTTTATCGGTCAACTTTAAATCTATCAGGACCCACAGTCTTGTTCAGCATCGTATATTGAATTATATTTACTTTTTCTTGAAGTTGTAACCTGATCCCAATCTTACAATCAATGAAAAATTCAATTATGTCATCTCTTGATAAAGAATTGGGACTATAACGTTCAGATTAAAAAAAAAAAACACTTTTGTTTATTGGATCTAAAATGTTTTTGTTTATGCTAAGAGAACCAGTACTGCTTTACTTAATTTATTTAAATCTAAAAGTGAATAATTTATTGGATTTCTTACGTTTTCCTCAATAAAAGGTTTCACAAGGTGCTTATAACAGAGAAAAGAGACCTGTATCACACAGAAGATGACTAGCTGGCATAAAGGCATAACAATTTAATACCTGTTGCTTCTTTCTGTAAGCAGCATAAAGACCTCAGATAAATGTTTTTGCTGTATCCCATAGAAAAGAAATTGTGTAATTGAACTGATTGATGAACTGATGAAATAAAAAACTACTATCATTTTCTATTAATACATACTTGGTAGTTTAACAGAGATATATTCAGAATCTGTTTGAAAGTTGTATTTAAATGATCAAATAAAGCTTCACAATAGAATGATCTGAAGTACTTATAGCATCTACATTACACATTATAAAAATAAATAACAAGGAATGAGATACCACAAAATAAACTAGAAGAAAACAAGACCTATGAACAAAACAAAAATATGCATTCACACTGGAAAAAAATTAAAAGGCTACATAAAATCCACCAGATTAAATTCACTGATAATCTTACTCAGTAATACAAATCTGAGAATTTAACTTAGGTGGAATGACTGTTATTATCTAGAAAAAGATTCAGAAGTCAATCAGAAGTCAGGACATCTGGCTGTAAAGACAGGAACCCAGTGAGTCCCTGCTCAATTGCCTGTGGTCTACATAGCAGGCCACTTTGCTTCTGAAGATGCCAGCCACAATTGCCGATGAAACATCAGGAAATCTGTCCTCTAGACCAGGGTTCCTCAACTTCAGCAACTTTAAGATGGGTGGACTTCTGGGAGTTGAAGTCCACCCATCTTAAAGTTGCTG